TATGGCCCGGCTGGTTGCACCTGAAGAATGCCGTTCCGCGACACGCTCCATGGTGGTACTTCCCACACCTCTTACACTGATTCGATGGACCGTTCCGTTGGTTCGCATTATCCCAAGTTCGCTTATGGGTTTCCATACCCTTAGCGACTTTAGCTTGGGCGTTTCGTGCAACCTTATGCTCCTCTTCCATTCCAATCTCCTGAGTTGCAGCCGTTTCCACAAGGTCAATCATACTGTCATACCTTCTTATGGAGCAACGATTCTTGAGTTCAACCCGCATTCCCCTAAGGAAAAGTCGGATCAGCTCTTGCTTTCCTGGGTGTTGACCAGCAAATCTCCTCAAACGACTGAACTCCTCCTCGTACTCACGTACGATCTTGCTTCCTTGACGCAAGTCTTGGAATGCATTCACCATCTTTTCCATCGCCTTGCGAGGAAAATACTTACGGGAAAATTCATTCCTGAAATCCTCCCAGGTGAGTTCATACCGTCCCTCAGCCTTCTCCACAAGACCTTCCCACCATACCAGCGCCTCGTCCTTCAGGTACTGGACGGCCAGGTCTCTGCGGTATGCTAGCGGACACCTTGCTCCATCAAGATTCCTCTCCAACTTCTTTCTCCAATTGTCTGCAGCAGTAGGATCGCTTTTACCCGCAAACATCTCAGTTCCCATGAGACGAACGTGATTCATAGCCTCCCAATAGGTCGGTACAGGCTCTCTGTCCTGCCCACGACCCAAAGGTGGTGGCGGGGGTAAATGTACCTCCACTTGTGGCTTATCACGGCGCGGATTGGCACCTCCATACGCTCCTTCCACATTAAGGTTTCCACGAAGAAGATTTCCATACCTCTCGCGGTACCTCAACAGCTCTTCTCTTTCAGCAGCTGCCTCTGCAGCTGTTGCCTGCTCTGCAACGCGAGTTTCCTCAGCAATGCGAGCCTGTTCAGCCACACGAGTTTCCTCTGCAATACGCGCTTGCTCAGCCACACGCGCCTGCTCCTGAGCATGGGCGGCGGCACGGTCCTGTTCCGCAGCTAAAGCCTGTTGCGTGGCTAAAGCCTGTTGCGCGGCTAAAGTTTGAGCACATGCTTCCTCTGCTTGCCCCCTGGCACGAGTCCGCCCGGTATTGCCTCCATTCACACTTCCTGTTGAAGTGGTTTGGGTTCCTTCTTCACTCTCACGGCGTGCTGCAGCCCTAGTCAAACGCTGTCCCTTTGGTGGCATCTATTCACAAGAATAAGTAATCAGAATCGTATCCTCCGATTCGATTAGCCACATCTAATGCAGATACAGTAGACACTAGACAATGTAGACAACAGATGAAGACTGTAGACGCAATGTAGACTGTAGACAGCAGATGAAGATGAACTGAAGATAACTAAAAATACTAAATTACTGAGCCTGGAGAGCAGAGTGACGTGGTGTGATGATGGTGTTTTACTTTTGAAAACCCCAACCCACTTATAAAAACTTTTGAAAACGGTTTTACTTTGAAAACATGTCTCCCGGGTCATAACCGGTTTGACTGGTAACCTTGTCTCTGATACCAAACTTGTAACACCGCTTCTCCTCATATGAGATGACGTGTTAAACACTCAACTTCCCAACCAAGTTACCACATCATTAACTCTAAATCAATACTCATTTCATAGATATAAATCTAAACAGTCTTGCAAATAACCAATTTAAACTCAAATAAATCATAATTAAGTCTTAAAACCAACTGAAAACCATTTGAAATAGAAAGCTAAGTGTCTTAAGGACCCCAAGGACCGAACTAGAGAACCAGCTCGCCACCATCAGACGCCAATCACTCCTGCTGCTCCTGCTCACCTGCGCAAGGGGGAACGGGAAAGGAGGGGATGAGTAATTTAGATTACCCAGGAGAATGCATATATGTGGTCCACCACACATATCATTACCCAACCTGTCGCTAGCTAGAGCCAAACGAACAAGCGCAGTTTAACGATTCCTCTAACAATCAACAAACAAATATACAATGAACAAAGCGAGCATACTGAACGCCTCTCGTTACAGTATCCCATGGATTAACCTCCACAAGTTTCGTATGTCTTACACCCTTGCTAGGGGACGCATCTCCGCAAGAGTCTAAGTCGCTGCACGACTGGTTCGTCAACCTGAGCACCACATGGCACTACGACAGGCACTTTTTCTGTCGCATGCGTCAATCATGCCAGTAGTGCCTCTCACTGCTAGGTCCTAATGCAGTTTGTGCTTTCACACACTATATGCAATGCAATGCAGTTCACAATTCTCACAAGCAATATTCAACATCAAGCAACAATCAACAGTATTAATCCATCCCTAGATCTATGTTCTGAAAGCAAATAACAACCTAGCAAACAGCACAGATCTATAAGTTACGACCTAGAGCGGAACTTGTAGGGGATTAGAGGACTTGGAAGTCAGATCTAATCAGGAGAAGCTAGCTAACAATATCGAAGGGAAGACATGAACACATCTTCACCTTTGCCTAATCGAATGAAAGCTAAAAAGGGATCTAGGGTTTAAGGGATCTAACGACGGAAAGCAAAGGACTCAAGAAAACGGTGGCTAGGAACGGCGGAATGACGGCGGTTCTCCTCAGCGGCGGCGGTCGGCGGCGAAGACGAACGGCGGCGGCGGCTTACTCGGTTAGGGTTCCTAGGTTCTATCTCTGAGTGCTTTGGGAGTTGTGATGGAAAACCTAATTATCTAGCTTTGTTTATATAGGGAAGACTCTGGGAAAACCCTAATAACTTTTCCTTTTGGGCTTCTGACACATGAACATTTTCTTTTTCTATTGGGCCTAGATCCAGGGCGTTACATATTTTGCTCAGTTTGTGTGTATATATACAAATAACAATTGATTCTTTTCTTAATGACGATTTTCTTGTGAAACATTGTTTATCATGACAAATTGACAATCCCATAACCTTATTATCATTTACCAAAAATGAATTTAACTATATGGATATTTTTAATCATCTATATGAAGCTATAACAAAAATGTAGAGTAGTATTTAAATTACCTAATCTATAGAGAAAGAAACGATAAAAGTGGTTTGTTGTTGAGTACAGTAGAGCGACTTTTATTTGACTCAATCAAGCTTTCTTAGTAAATTCAAAATTTGAGTCTTCTCTACTCTAAACATTGAACAAAAAAAACTAATTGTTCTCGTAAGGGATAATAAAAGACTTACGTATATGGAACGAGAGAGAGAAAAGCGCTAAATAGTATAATTTATTATACGAATTTTAGAAGATAATCACATTTTACTGTCATATATGTAGATATAAGATAATCACATTTTACTGTCATAGATTAAAATTAAAATTGTTTTGGTTGGTAGGATGACAGACAGTTTTTAAGAAACTTTATCATGGTTATGATATAAATCATCTCAACGAACACTAAACGGTAAATCATCTTCTCGCGTGATTTTATACGAATTTTTAATCCTTCAAAAAAATTAAAAAGAGAAATGATGTTGTAGATGAAAACGCTGTGCTGCGTTACAAGTGTTGAGAACAAAACCGAGAAAAACATTAAACATTATTCATTTCAAAAATAACTTTTCGATTACATGTGATTAAAAAATTCTATTAAAGCATGTTCGTTGTTTCTTCGTTCTATAATAAATTTAAATCAACATCACTGTTTTATTTATCCCAGTTTTTTTTTATTGTCTACAAAATCTATAAACAATGAAAATGAAAAATGAAAAACAGATGTCAGGGGAACATTAAACTATTCGAGTACTAAATACAGAAGAAGTGAGTAGTTGTTAGATCAGAGCAGTCCATGTTTGGCAATTTCTTTGTATCATAATGGATGAGTTAATGTTTAGACTGTTCGGGAATAGCCCACGAAGATTCATGCATTTTTCCTTTTTTTTCAACTGTGTTACATTCTTTATTAAATACTTTCTGTTGTCATAGATTGCTAGAATTTAGTACAACTATGTAATATCGTATGCAGGTTAATTTTTGATATATAGGAGTACAAAAACTTATGAGTATATATTATAATTAATACTGCATCACTAAACAATTATATTTTATACTTACATACAAATTTGATTACCATTTGACATTTACGAGAAAAAAGTGAAGAATATGTTATCATTTGGTTCTGTTTTATTTTTAACAATTAACAAGAGCAAAAACAACAATTGACGTGTAAGGAAAATAGTTTATTTCCTACGCGCATGTTACTATTTATGGCACGGCAAGAAAGAGATAATAAATTGTCGACCAAAGAGACGAAAGAATCAGTGACACGATCACTGATCCTAATAAGTTCAAGCTACAAAAATATATCTGTTCCCAACTAAAACCATCAAAGATGTTTATTACTCTAGCATGAATTTATGGACTCAGCAATCTTTCATTTTCAAAACGACTATTGCCATTAAATTACAAGAATAAGAGTCAAACCAAATGTTCACATCAGATCGTGAACGATGATGGATAAAAATGTATTGGAATTTGGTTAACGAGATTTATGGAAACAAATCTTTTGTTTCATGAATCCAATATGGTCAATTTTGAAAAAAAATGTACCTCTTTCTTTTGAGTTTGATGACTTTAAACTCAAAAACCACATAATGTATATGGCTATGAACTGTAATTTATCTTCAATCACAGAGAAGACAACGATATGGTATGAAAATGATCAATAATTCAACAACTAAAAAACTGTGTATGAAAATGATAATCCAATATTGAGATAGTTTTTTTCGAGTGACTTGCGATGGAAAAGAGAAAAAGATATGTTACTGGCTATTATAATAGTGACAATACTGAGTTGGATTATATAATTATAAGAAGCTAGATTTTGATTACTTTTAAGTCTATAACTAACACATAAAATTTGTTTCAAATTCATTGTATTTTTATTTATAACGTAAAAGTGACTTAATAAATTTCCTTAACTCGTACATATTCAGTTTATAATTTCAAAAATATCTAATTGTTAATCTGTAAAGTATGAAAATATGGTTCACAGAAATGCGCTTCTTCCTTGACCATTCTTAATCTACACAGCTCTGATTAATGATGATTACTGATTCATGCAAATTGTAACATTTTCAAACGTCAGAGAGAATTTATTTGAGGGAAATTAGGAAATACAAAAGTTCTTGAAAACCGTCATCATTTTGTAGCTCATAGAGGCCATTGATACACTCATAAAAGCTTACGAATACGTAACAGACCTTCAAGTTGCTTCATTTGGGATACGAAGTACGAACCCCCTGGCGCTTGAAGAACTCTCTGAACCCATAGGGGCTCATATCATAGTTGTACTGCCAAAACAAAACAAAGCAAAACAAAAAATGATCTTCAGACTCTGCAATGCGTCCACATGATTTAGACTTGTTTTCACATTCAAAGACAAATGTGTTGATGCTTCAACTTACAGGAACAACTTTCACTGAATATCGGGTGATATTTGGGTCCTGTACCTTTCCTTCACTACCCGCCTGCATCAGAAAGATAATTCATTTTACGAGATAAACCCAAAGGAGCATGTGTAGTCCAAACACAAGGAGAAAGGACTATACTTGTTGTGGGCTATGGAATATTTCAATGAAAGGATACTCGCTTTTCTGGCGAGTTATGCAGAATCCGGGATACTTAGGGCACTCAACCTAAAACAGTACAAACACAACAGTCACTACTTAATGGTTTTAGAAAGTTTCCAGCTATCTTATATATTGTATAGGAGGAAGGAACTCACACGCATAAATTTGATGTTGGGATAGAACTCAGCAGCAGCTTCCTCAAGCATCCGATCAAGATGTTGTGTGTAGTTACTTCTGTTTTTTATAGAATTGAGACGCATGTGAGTTTGGGATATAGCAGCAAAGGAGCGTAACTTGAGAGGGAAGTTAAAGTTACCTTATGGTGAATGCGACGACGACAGGATAGCCCTGGTGGAGGAGTTGGACAAACTCTCTTTCTGATGTAAAATGAAGAACACGTGATGGCCCAAGATCCTTAGGGTAACCACTGTAGTATCTAACATTTCAACACAAAAAAAAAACAAAAACCCATCTTCATGATAGCTGTGTCTAGGGTATATCTCGCAAGTTATATAATTTAATGAGACAGAGATTCAGAACTCAAAGTCATTACTTGCAAGTCGAGCGAAGCTGGAGAAGCATTCTATTGAGAAATGATGTATCTTCCATCTGAGGACACCAAATGTATGAGACTAAGTTGCTATTCAACTTTGCTTATTATGTGAAAACAGACCAATACTCAAGAAGATATACATAACATGTCAAACATTCAATGGCTGATAAAGATATTTTTTTTTCTAGCTTTGAGTCGATGCCCTCTAGTTAATATAGCCAATGCGAAGATCAAACGCATCATTTGAAGTAGGTAAGGTAAAGTATTTTCCCAGGAGAGTTCTCTCAGGCATTTCATCGAACAACATGGGCGCACAAAGCATCCACTGATCTATTCACATCTATGCAAAACACTAATGTACTGCTCTCCAAAAACGTATATTAAAACTTCGATTGAAACGCATAAAGAATTCACATTTTGCCCATCAAGCAAAAACCCAGAAAAAAAAATGCATATCAGGAGTGGATGATCTTATGAAAGAATAGAAATTGACAGTCGCTCTCTTCTACCTTTTCTAGCAAACGAAAATTCGAATGAACACGCAGAAACAAACTTCGATACAAAAGATTCTGAGGAGAAATGAAACCTGGAGGCTGTTCGCTGCTTCTGGCTTTTGATGTTAGCCGTGGGAAGGAAGTGACAATCTGCTAAGTGAAACCTTTGGAATTTCTACTTCAATCGACGATGATGGTGTGGCTTATGTTTTGCTTCAAAGGCTATCGTCCTTGGGATTGTTTTGGGCTTTCTTTGGGTTTCATGTTTACTAAGTTTTTTTTCTTCGGGTTAAATACGAACCCAAAGAAAAAAAAATAGTGTATTAATGATACAGATTAGTTAAAAAATACCATAGAGAATTTTATTATTAAAATAACCAAAATATTAAAAAATATCATATTTTTTTTTTCAATTTCGTAGTCAAACATATATGACAACATAAATTTTTTTATTAATATAGTACTCCATACAATTGTTGTTGATACGATGATAATAATTCTGATCGGAATTTAAATTATTTTATGAATATGTTTAGATTTACTCTTTATCTTAGCCAAAAGGCCGGGAAAGGTGCATCCGCCGTTAGATTTTAGACGGAAGACTTTTTTGCATGCGTCTCTTTCAATGCTTTAAAAAAACAAATCATAATATATATAGATAGACTTTGACTGACCCCAACAAAAGAGAAGAAGATAGACTGTTGACAACTCACATCTCTATATTTTTTTTTATAGTATCCAAAACATCCCCAAAAAAAAAACTATTGTTTTAGTGATTCGAATCTTCTGATTTACAATATTACAACATCCTTCATCGAATCTTACATAATTTCTTAGTATCTTTAAAACACAAATCTATAAAAGAAATCCGCAAACGACGCTTTAACCGGGTATTGTGAACCGAGTAGGTTAATATCGTGTGATCTTAAGCCAATAGATTAGTCATAATGGGACGCTCATGGCAAACGGCTCGTAACGGCACGAGCTTACGCATAGCCATTCCTGGATTCTCTGTCATATCAATCTCCTCACCGTTGACCTTTTCCCAGTCAAAGCATTGAACCAACGACCCTAAAGCCAATGACACCATCCTCTGTCCCAAAGCCGCACCGGGACACGTCCTTCGTCCGTTCCCAAACATCATAAGCTTATTGGCATTCGCGGCTGCTTCGTCTTCGAACCGCTCTGGCATGAATCTCTCTGGCTCATCCCAAAGCTTCGGGTCTCTATGGATGGCCCAAGAGTTCACTAGTACGATCGTGCCACGTGGTATGTCGTATCCGCCAATCTTTAGATCTTCAGAAGGAGAACGCGGGACAAGGAGCGGTGCGGCAGGACACAACCGAAACGTCTCCAAAACTATGTTTTGGAGATAAGGGAGATTCACAATGTCCGGTTCATCGATCAAACGTTCTTGTCCAATCTTCTCGTCTATCTCAGCTTTTGCCTTCTTCAACACTTCAGGGTTTTTCAATAAATTCGCCATCGCCCATTCTAGCGTCACAGCCGCTGTATCCGTCCCCGCAAGCATCATACTCTATAATATTTACATTGAAATCATCCACAAAATTGTTAGTTCATCTATACATTATATTACACATAACTTTTATTGTAAATATAAAATGTAAAAAAAAAAAAAGAGAGGGCAATTTATATGATTTTTTTAGGTTTATATGTATTAGAGTACTTACGAGCATAAGGCCTTTGATGATGACATCACTGTAATACTTGGGTTGTTCTTGTTGTAAAGACAACAAATGACTAAGCATTGTGTTGTTGTCTCCATCTCTTCGGCAATCATCGAGCAGTCGCTGCAAGAAAGTGTCCATGGCTTCGCCGAGTTCTTTCACTTTCTTCTCGTAGCTGTGTCCGAACACTTTAAGAATCGGTAGATAATCTCCTGGATGGCTCGCACCACTATTGTCGTTGATCTGCGTCACTAGTTTCTTGAATAGATTCGCTTCCTCCTTGTTGTAAACCTTTAAGAATAAAAAAACCGTTTAATATGATAATTTGTCTAAATAATAATCCACATCAAATGAATTCTATCATGCATATAAAAAGTAGGGAACAATCAACAAACACATAATAGGCCCATGTTTTTTGGTAGGTAAATAACTAATTATTAAACATTTTCTACAAGATCATTAAAAGTGTAAATGAGTGGTGAATTTATTCTTCACGAAACTTTATTTTATATATATATATGTATTTAAATTAAACGAACCTTGTCTCCGTAGTAGCGTCTCCCTGTGACCATACGGACAATATTATTGAACGTTAAATCGGCAAGAAGAGATTCAAGCTCAACAACACGGCCATTATAGTCACGTGAGAGTCTCGTGAGCAACCGCTGGATCTCATCTTTACGGACGGAGAGGAATCCGGTGAGACGCTGAGAGGAAAGGATCTCAAGAGAGCAGATACGGCGGAGATTACGCCAATGGTCGCCGTAAGCGGCGGTTCCAATCGTGGTGTAATCGTAGGCGATGTGTTTAGCTGTTAGAAAATGCGGGCGGTTTGTCAAAATGATATCGTTTTGGCCAGTGAAGCATTCTTTAACGAGAGGCAAAGAAGAGATCACTACGACTTGGCGAGAGCCGTAACGGAGGGAGAAGATTTCGCCATATTTTTCTGCGAAGCGACGGAAAAGACGGTGTACCGGCGGTTTCACGAGGTGGAGATTGCCGACGATGGGAAACGGAGTTGGTCCTGGTGGGAGATTGAAACGATGCTTTTTGGATGAGAATATGAATTTGTAAGCTAATATAAACAAGACGAGTGGCAATAAACTCAGAACGTAATCCATTTTTGTGTTTTGTTGGTGTTGTTTGGTTTTGCGAACTGACAAAGGTTTAAGTGAGAGGCTGATATATATATATATATATATTGATTGGCTTTTATTATGATCAGGTAATGAAACCAAATATAAATAAAGAGTGCATATTTTGAACTTTGACTCTTGAGTTTTATATTTCCTTTTTATTGTTTGCCGTCAAGCTTTTTAAGTGATTACCTTGTTTCATACGACTTTTCTTCGACTGTTCCGGATTATTTGTCATCTTTTCGTTTATTAAAGACGGTCCACTAGAAAAGGGTGGACATATGTATATGACTTTTACTGATTCTTGTATTTTTTCTTTTATTAAAATGGTCCAATAGGAAAGGGTGGACACATGAATTCTCCTTGAAAATTTTCAATATATGTTTGATAATATTTCATATTCAAAATATTTGCTAGGCGCTAGCTATATCGGATGATCGTGGGTCTGGTGTCGGAAAAACGAAATTGAAGATTTATCAAAAAATTGTTTTATGCTTATTTTGATGTGTTTCAATATTTTTAGTTTTAAAAATATATAATAAATTTATAAGGTTGATACAATTTGATGTTCAGTTTAAATCATCACGTTATCTTAAATAGATTGCTAATTTCAGTTCACATCATATATATTTAAAATACAAAATCGAAGTTTCAATCATAAAAGTATATGATTGTGATTTTAAAACACAAAAAATATTGAAAGATCACAAGGGTGAAAAGTGATTGAATACAGTATGTATTAATTATCCACCATTATTATATATACAGTATATCTAGTTACTACCGACCTAAAACGAAATAAAAACCCAAATACTTTGATGTTAAGGTAATTAAAAAAAAAAGACGGATAATAATATATTGGTGCGATCACCGAGTGTCCACTTGCATTAGATTACACTAACACTAGTTTGCTTCTTTCAAGCTATATTGATTACAAAGCCGTCCCCCTTGACGACTTTTCAAATATGGCTGCTGCTCGTTAAGTTTTAAAATACAATAATAATAATTGTTTGGAACGAAGGTGAAGATGAATGTTCATTTCTTAAAACATGGATAAAGATTATTAGATATAGGAAGTTGACGGGAAATAATAAAAATAGAGTTTTTTTTTGTTGGGTAAAGGATATATAATATCGTAAAGTCTGCAATCATTCAAAACTGTACGTACGTATGTATAATGCAACCGGCTAGCGCCCGCCAGTGTATACCTCGTCAAAAACAAAGAAGAAATAATCTCTAATATTAAATGGTGGTGATTTAATGGTTGAAGAACCTAGAGTTGAGTATTTCTACTATGATTTTTTATAGACATTTTCAGTAAGAAACTTTTGGGGGGGGGGGGGGGGGGGGGGGGGGGGGGGGGGGGGGGGGGGGGGGGGGGGGGGGGGGGGGGGGGGGGGGGGGGGGTGGGTTAATGGATTTTGAGAGATTATTAATCTGGTTTTTAGTTTAGGATTATTTTGTGTGACAACAAAAAATGACCGAATCAACAGAAGTGTATCACAAATAATTTAATGAACTAAGTTTTTTCTTAGAATTTTTTTTTTACTCTGACCGAAAGAAACTATGAAATTACGTCAAAGTGGGATGCTATTTGTATGGATACTATTTTGGGATTTTCTTTCAATATTGTTGAAAAGGTGGTTTTTTGTAAAGAGATAAGATCAACTCCATTGTTTGATTGAAAAAAGCTTTTAGAAAGAACAGAAAAATCACCTTACCAATACTGATATTTCGTTTTCAATCATCCGTGAAAACTTGACAAATGAAAATAACATGATTTCATATCATGTGAATTGTGAAATTAGAAAAAGAAAAAAAAAACAGCAATAGATACAAAAAATAAAAATAAAAATAGATACAGAACTTTCTATGCTATAAAATTCCGCAAAAGCTACAAAACTTTTCTATTTTTATCTACAATAAACTTGCAACGGTAATCAATCTATAGTAGTTTCCAACAGAAAAAGAAAAATACTCAATAGGGTAAAGGGAGGGGTACCTTGGAGCGCAAGAGAAATCAGTAACAATTTTTTAACCACAATATTTGATTTTTTTGTAATTTGCCACTACGAAATTTTGGTAATAGCAATTGCAACTATAAAGTTTGTAACTATTTACATTTAAAATTTACATTTTTGATTTTCGACGTCATCAGTTGTGTTTGGGTATGGTGGTGACAGCTAGACTGGTTTGGGTTTAGCGCAAATGAACTGTTTGATTAATTTGCACCCAAAAAAGGATTATTTGAATGAAATATATATCCGTAAATGTTTTTGTTAAACTTCGATGTGGAAAAAGAGAAAGTAGAATAACGTCGCTAAGATTTTTTCTGTAACAAACTGTCGAAAACTAATAATTAATATGTAATTTAATTAAAGAAAAAAAATAACGATACAGAGAAACATTTGTAGTTGAATGAATCATGAATGAAATAAACGTTTGCACAAAAAAAGAGAAACAGTCTCTTTTCTTCGTTGTTCAAGTACACAGCTGTCACTATAATAAGCCTGTGATGATAATGCAACATGGAGGTATTCAAATTGACCCGCCATCTTAAATTGTATGTGGTGAACCATAGATTTAAGCTTTTTTCTATCTGTGTTATTTATCCAAACCAAAGGTCTCGTTATCATGTTCCCCAAACTCAATGGTGACTGGTAGGGGTTGGCACGGATTCAATATCTGGGAAATTTTTAGTGTTTGTGATTTATTTTATTTTTAACAAATATTTAATTTTATGATTTGATTTGTTCTGAAAATAAATTTGAATATAAAAAAAAAATTAAATATATTTGTGAATATTTACTGATATATAGTTTGATCCGTTTAATACATACAAAAACTTTAAAATACATCAATTTTTAGTATAAGAAAATATTTTTTATCTAAAATATTAAATGAAAAAAGTAAATAAAAAAGTTTTTTTTTATTTTAAAAATAAACTATAAAATTAAAATAGGAAAATAAAAAATCTTAAATTTTACTAATTTTTTTTTTGATATTTATTAATTAATATAAAATAAAATATTATTTATTAATGTACTTTAAGTTTAAACATATTATTTACTTTTTATTATTTGTTATTTAGTCATCTATTTTATATAATAGTAATAATTAGAAACAATTGAAATTTTATGAAGAAAATTGATAGTATATTAATAAAGATAAAATAAAATTTATAATATGATAGATATATACATGATAAAATATACTAATATATAATAAATTTATAAAGATACGGATCGGATCGGATAGCTCTGGACATCCGATCCGGATCCGTTGGAACCGAACCGACCCGACCCGAAAAAAGTGGTTCGGTTCGGATTCGGTTATTATCAAATAACCGATTGGTTCTTGGTTGATTTTGATTCGGTTCTCGGTTCGGTTTGGATTTTACCCGAGAACCGATCGGTTACCCGATTAACCCGAATTAAATTTATGATTTCAAACTAAGTAATACCAACATTTATGATTTCGTACCAACATTTCATCTAACCTTATGTTATATAATTAATACTATAGGATATATGATGAATCAAATCTATGTGATCGAACCGAATGTTTATCAATTTGTGATTCATTCATTTGCACTTTCACACTTATTTCTCTCTTTTCTATCGATAAATCCCAAATTGGGAAAACTGGAAGCCCTAATTTATTCACAGGCTTCGTCTCCTCCTTCTGCGAGGTCTCGAAATCATTCTCAAGTAAGAGTTTACTTTTGTCTTTGCCGATTACTTGATTCTCTGCATCTTCTTCTCTTTTTTTTTCTCAGCGAATTTCTGCAATTTCTTCTCCTTCTTCCTCTGTGATTTTCTGTAACTTGTTCTCCTTCTTTCTCTGAGATTTTCTGCAACTTCATTCTCGTGATTTTGAGTTTTAAAATTTATGTTACTAAAATATGTGGTTTTTGGATTCGAATGTCTGATTCTTGTTTGTTAAAAAGTGGCTTTGCTTTATTTGTAATTCTTACTGATGTGAAATGAATTGTCGGGTCTTTTGTTTTAAATTTGCGATTCTGCTTATGTGATTGTGGTTTATGTTTATTGATTCAAATTGAATTATCAGGTCTGTTTTAAGTTTTGAGTTTTGAATTTAGAATTATCGGGTCTGCAATTTTTCTTCTGAATCAAATTCTAAACATGTGTTACAAACTTGTTATGTTATATCCACAAATTTTTGTTTCCTTAATTGTGAAAACATGTGTTCTTGCTTTGCCTATTCATAGAACCACATTTGGTATATTAAGAAAGCTGTTTGAGTTTCAATGAAAGAAAATTATATAAATGGCAATAATTTCTGGATTTGAGCATTTTCCGATTGTTCAAGATTCGCTAATGCCTTGATGATATTAAAACTTATTATTGGCTAAACAATTAATGACTTAATGCTTGTAATTATATGATCCTTTAGGACGTGTATGTTTTCTGGATTTGATCACTTTGTGATTGTTAAACAATTAACGACTTAGTGCTTGTGTTTGGTGTTTGTAATTGTTATTGATCTTTTATATGATATGACATGGAGAGAAGCTTGTGTTTGGTGTTTATTTGATTACTTTGTGATTTTTAAAGAATCGCTAGTGACTTGGTGCCTGTGTGATGATTTGATTTTGATACTTGTTATTGATCTTTTATATGATAGAATATGAAGAGAAGCTAAGAGTTAAAGAATGTGTAATGAGAGTGAGACCACAAGTTTGACAAATTACTTGAGACTTGAGTCATGAATTTGTTGTCTTTCGTTAAGCTTGAATTTAAGATTTATGACTTTTATTGTTGGCTTGTTGCTTTAGATTTGAATATCTACTTTTGTCATGCTTTTAAAACTTGTATTTGCACAATTTGGGATTCGAGTTATGTTTTTAATTGTTTGGTTTTCATTTTTTTGGGTATTTTCGGGTCTTTCGGGTCCAAATGGATTTCAAACGGGCCCAAACGGTTCCATAATAGGTCCAAACGGGTTTCAAATTTTAATTTTACAGATTCTCGGGTCTTTTTCGAGTATCAGATAATTTAGCAAACCCGACTCGACCTGATTATTACCCGAACCGAACTGAACCGAAATTTTGTTGGGTCTTAAATGGATCTTATACACACTAACCCGAACTATCTGAAACCCGAACTATCCAACCCGACCCGACCCAAAGACCTGTATGCCCAAGGTTAGGATCGGATATTCGATATTGTTTAAAAATATATTTGTGATTTATTTCATTTTGTATAGATATTATAATTTATTATTTGCTTTGTTTCGAAACTTTACGGATATTCAATTTGAATCGAATTGAAGTAAATACAAATTGAAACCGAATTTAATGGATATTTTGCCCAGTCCTAATGACTGGTGATTTCTACACTCTTGTTTGATGTCAACTATTGCGGTCAAATCACTTATACTGTATTATTTTATTGATTTTAAAGAAAAAATGGTTAGGAGAAAATAAATTGTAGAATAATGGGATGTCATGAAAAGGAGACCACGATGGAAAACTGCATATGAATTTTAAAATCTAAAGCTAAATTATATTAACAAAAGTGTTTATTTTTCCCTCAGTAATTATCAACGATTATTTTGTACGTAAAAAGTTATAAATACGAATAAAATATTTATCTCGAAGTTGGAAGAAGATTTCGAGATAGTGACCAACATATAAGAAAATGTGAGGCAATCATATACCATTCTGACTCAATGATATCACATATGTATCTATCCGTATTTCACGGGAATATCCAGTTTATTGACAATTTGTGGTCACATAGAGAAAGCCAATTTTCTCTCCGTTCTTTCGTGTGTGGTTGTAACATTTTACCACAGTTTTCTTTCTTAATTCTTAGTATATATATACTAATTCGTTTTGGGCTAATTTTTACCATCCTAAGAAATCACAACATAACACGTAGATAAAACTCATCAGCAAATATTGATTTCCCAAAACTAAACAAGATGACATCTTCTCATAAAAGGACATCCGCACTTTTTTCGACAATTATAATTTTTATTTTCTAATCATTTTCAAAATAACAAATGCATTATACTATAATCTTGGAAAATTGACTGATATAACCATATAAATGCCTAAAATTCAGAAAGTAACCATACCAAAATATGTGCTATTATATTTCTTATATATTTTACAATGTATACCGAAAAACCCTTCGTTTAAATTGGAGTGAAATATAGTTGCTGAAATTAGCAGTAGAAAAAGTAAAGATAAAAAAATTAAATGTATCATCATCGCAAAGGATAGACCGCACTTCAACATGTTATTGAAAATAATAAACACAAATCGTATTAGTTTATATTAAACACCACTAAAATTACATTATATCGATTATTGTTTCCAATAACTTATTTTCCTATTTGAATATATAGTATATCTCTAATAACATATGGTTTACTACTGGACTATACAATACTATATGTTCAGTATATACGGCAACACTACTATAATATAGTACGAGAACTTCCGGTTACATATCATTTCGCCGATCACTATAATTTAAATTAAAAATAGTATAGTATTACAGTTACAGTTAGACTACTAGATTGCGCATTTTCAAATAGTATATAACTCACTAGTTATAGTATAGATGTGATGGTATATGTTTTAGAGTAGAAAAATCTACTACGCTATACACCAATGACGTCAGAAAAATATATCGCAGTATATGTTTTGCTTAAAGAGAAATTGGCTGTAATAACCATATGATCAGTTGAAATTAATAAAATGACCATATAAAAAGATATGCTATAATATTCTTTATATTTTATACAATATATACCAAACTACCATTTTCTTCTTTCTCTTCTCCTCTTCTCTTCCCCTTCTCCTCCCTTACCTTCACGTCTTCTCATCTCTTCTCTTCCTCTTCCCCTCCTCTCCCCTCCCTGTCTTCTCCTCTCCCATCCTCCCATTTCCCTCCCCTCCCCTCCCTTTTCCTTTCCATTTGATGACTCATACTATACAAATTATGTGAAATAATTAATTTTGTTAACAGTATAGTACGATACAAAAATTGATATAGTATAATATGTTAATATAAAACTGATATATAATTAGAACCTCAAGTACTATACTATAAGAACATATATTATAGTATAGTCCGAAAAAATCATATATTATAATATAGTCTATAAAGAAATATGGGCAACATATGTTTCTAACATTAATAAGAAGGAGTTTTTAGTAATTTTTATGTGGGTCATGGTTAGTTTGTATATTATTTGAATAGTATGGCTATATTTTTTGATTGTTTTGTAAATATGGTTAGATAACGAAAAAGCCCTTGCTTAAAATCAAAAGAGTGTATTGTAATTTCTTTTTGGATCATAGTTACTTATCTATTTTTTTGAATAATATACCTATATTCTCCGTTTCTTTCTCCAATATAGTTATCAGACTAAAAAACTCTATAATCTTTATGAGTTACAAAAAAAAAAAAAAATGCATCAAAATGTCTCTCATGCCATAATTTTACATCATTGGCTTCAAAGTAACAAATGCACGTGTGCGACTTCATCAGCGTGTTCGATGGTTTTTTTCTTCGATTAACAGCAGCGTGTACGATATTTCAACGCATATTCTATGTCGATGTCGATGTCGGACTTTACTCGAGAAATGTCCATAAAAGCAGAATACTATAAGTCTATAAGGAAGAAGATACATTTCGGTTATTCGATCGATCTCTAAGGACCACATATGGCATTCCTGACTTTTCTATTTACTTTTGTTCATTCATTCATAAATCTTTTTTCTTTTGTCTGTGTTCTTAACTCCTAATCACGTCGATATCATCTTAACCCGAAATCCCATTAGGAATCTTGCATCCACACATACGCTAACATATTCACGTTTAGTGGAACTAGGTTAAACATGACAACAAATATAGTTTACCTAGTCAGTGCTTCACAGTTCAAGAATCCAACAACCTGATCGAATATGCAATTAAGATATAAAGTGTAACTAAACTTGTACGTTTATACAATATTTAAAGTAAACACAAAACATCAACAAAAACAAACCACATTTTCTGTAACAGTTCTACGATACATTAGTATCACACTCTTTCGATCTATATCCTTTGTAAATTGATAGTTATAATTTAACTACACCAATACTCATTTGTTAATTGTTATATATTACTCACACAAATATAATTAACTCCATATACATCCGTTCCAGCAAACTCTAATATTCATACCAATATCTGACTCATGAGCGATATGAAAAAAAAAAAACAATTGTAACATTTTATACCCAATCATTTGAGTGTTCAACTCTATATGTTCTAAACTATAAAAAAAATTAATGATACATTTTACATTCCTCTAACTTTTTGTTCTTAGTGTTTTTTTTAATTGATCCTCGGATTTAATCAGCCTTGCAAAAATCTAACTTTATGAAGAAAAATTTGGCATAATTCAACAATAATAATGTGTCTTTAGTGTTTGTATCCTACTCTTTCTCAGTATCCAACTAATATTTTTTGAAGGAAAAATAAAAATAAAAATGAACATCCAGTGCGAAACGACGTCGTTAACGTAGGAACTATTCTCAGCTCAAAACCAATCCAAGATTCCCAGCTCCACGACAGAATTAAGAAAAGAAAAATATACACAGAACAGAAGAATACAAATTGATTCGATTTGTCGAAAGAGCAAAAAGCGACAAAAAAAAAAGTGTTACAATCTTAATCGTCGTCGTTGGTTTTTCTCATCGGAGGTACCCAATTGCTTGTCTGTTTGCAAGAAATCGAAGATTGGATGAAGCAAGAGCGTTGTATAAAACATGGCGATTTCTGAAGAAATCCAGATACCGAAAACGCAAGACCCATGCGCCTCTTACGCCTCGCCGTCCGGAGATCGCCGGTTCGAGAAGCTTCGCGGCGTTCGATGGCGAATAAACCTTGGAATTTTGCCGTCTTCTCCTTCCTCCACCATCGATGAGCTTCGCAGAGTAACGGCTGATTCCAGAAGAAGGTTTTGACTTTCCCCTACATTTTTTCACCTTTTATTAGTTTAGAAGGAACGATCCGAAGATTTTGTTTTTAGCAGCTCCGGATTCAGACTCAGATCAATTTCATGGAATCAGCATTGAAGATTTGTAGCTTCTCAGGGGGAAAAAAAAATAAAGTTTTGATTTTTATGTTGTTTCTTAGATATGCTGCTTTGAGAAGACGACTCTTAATTGATCCACATTTGCCCAAGAAAGGAGGAATCAACTCTCCAGATCTAACGATTGATAATCCTTTATCACAGAATCCTGGTAAAATCAACAACAATGCTTCTCACTGAGATACATTCAATTGCAATTTTCTCCAATGTAGTAATCATATATACAAAACTATCTGGTTTGTGTAGATAGTACTTGGGGAAGATTCTTCCGTAACGCAGAGCTGGAGAAAACACTCGATCAAGATCTCTCACGGTTGTATCCAGAACATGGAAGTTACTTTCAATCCTCTGGATGTCAAGGGATGCTAAGACGGATACTTCTCTTGTGGTGTCTCAAGCATCCTGAGATTGGTTACAGACAAGGTTAGTTATATGTACTATGATTTGTCGAAATAACTTGTGTGATTTTAATGGTTTTTATCGAGCTCTTTTCAATTTTGGTTCTTAGGGATGCATGAACTATTGGCTCCTTTGCTTTATGTTCTTCAAGTGGATGTGCAATACCTTACGGAAGTGAGATCAAACTATGAAGACCAGTTCATTGATTTGTTTGACGAACTAGCATTTCAAGAACGTGACTCTGCTGCTTACGATTTCGATATCAAAAAGGTGTTGGATGATTCCATGGAAGAAGGAGATGAAAATGGTCCACCTTTTGGAAGCACCAAGAAGAAAAAACCAAAGAGTTTCGATGAACTCGACGCCGAGACGCAGACCGCTGTTCTGTTGAGTGACGCCTATGGAGCGGAAGGCGAATTAGGAATCGTCCTCTCCGAGAAGTTCATGGAACACGACGCCTACTCCATGTTCGACGCTCTCATGTACGGTGGATCTTCCCTTGGTTCGGTCTCCGTGGCGAATTTCTTTGTGTACTCAGCTCCAAACGATTCCGTCACGGGACTGCCTCCTGTGATTGAAGCTTCTTCTGCATTGTATCATCTACTTTCTCTAGTCGACGCTTCTCTTCACAGCCATCTAGTTGAGCTCGGCGTCGAACCGCAGTACTTTGGTCTCCGTTGGTTACGTGTTCTGTTCGGAAGAGAGTTTCCTCTGAACAATCTCTTGATCGTGTGGGATGAGATCTTCTCCGCTGACAACTCCGAGGTAGAGACAGGCGTCGCTGAGGCTGATCTAGGGTTTGAATTCAGGATCCTGAGCTCACCGCGAGGAGCTCTTGTCGCAGGGATGGCGGTTTCGATGATACTCTATCTGAGATCGTCGCTGCTAGCAACTGAAAACGCGACTTCCTCTCTCAAGAAGCTACTGAATTTTCCAGAGGACATCGATCTGAGTAGAGTGATCGAAAAGGCCAAGTCTTTGCAGGCTCTTGCTCTTGAAATCAATGCTCGTCGTGACTTAGTTCCTAAAGGGTCGAGAAAACCGACGACGAGAGGTCACAGCTTATCGGTCGATTCGATCTCGCTTGGCTCTTCTTGTTCTCCTGTGGGGATAGTTCCTGAGAGCTACTGGGAAGAGAAGTGGAGAGTTTTGAACAGCGCGGAGGAAGAGGAACGGAAGAAGAAAGCGTTGTTGCAGAGACCGAGAACGGTGAAGAAAAGCTGGTCGGAGAGAGTGAAGCTTAGGCTTTCGAGGACGGAATCGGATCCTTCACCGGCTGAAGCAAGTATAAGCGGGAACAAGCCGCCTATTAGACGAAGTTTGCTTGATGATCTATCGAGGCAGCTAGGTGAAAAAGAGATTGATCCTCCTCCCGAGCTCTCAAACGCGGATACGGATATCGAACGCTCGTCTACAGTATCTGATTCGGCGAGCGTGGACTATGAGGATAACAGTTCTGATAAATGCAAAACAGAGAACCATTTGCATTTGCCTCTTCCGGTTCCTGAGAATGAGCCAGAGGCGAAAACAGGGGCGAGTATCTTCTTCAGGGATAGGAAGATTCTTTCTGGTAAGTTCCAGAGGCTATGGAGGTTAGGTCGAAACTTGTCCGGCGAGGAAACTACTTCTGAGACGAAAGAAGCTGAGACGGTAGATACTGAAGATGGGAAGACCGATTCAGATTCAACTGTGGGTAATGGAGTTGCGTTGAAGGATACAGGACGGTCCATGCTTGAACATATTAAGGTAAAAATGACGCTATTCGAATGGTGGATTTGATTATTACGAACCAAAATCAAACATGAATGACGTCTGTTTTTTCGTTTACTGTTTGGGTAACAGGTGATAGAGTCGGTGTTGGAGCCAAGTTCACCGGAAAATATGACTGAGAATGGAAGACTAACAGTTGAGGAAGCTCTGAGAGAACTTCGTAGACTTGGAAATATGTTGACGGAAATGTAGAGTTTATTGCAGACTTTTCATAATTTGTATTTGTAATCTGAAAATTTCATTTGTTCTTGTATGTGTGTGTGTGTGAAAGAGAGCGTGTAACTGTAATGTATATATGAGAAATTTTGAAGAGGGTTCTGTTTTTTTATCGGTTTCTTGTAGCACAAGTGATACGAATTTCTTTGGACATTGTTAGCCCTAACGGGTTTTCAACGGTCTCTTGATGTCAAGAGAAGTCAAGGGTGCATTAAATTATTAACTTCCCTCCATTTATTCGGTACTTGACCGTTATATATAATTCTTCCGTAAAAATAACTCAATAGAAAATAACATACGAGGCTTCTGGATTACAAATAAATACTTGATTCTCCGTCGAATTCAATAAATTTGGATACTCCTTTAAAGTTTTTTGGTTTCTATATCCTGAATATTTCAAAAAAAAAACATGAATAATGAGAAATTACAACATTATAAGCTGAAATAAATATAAAATTAAGGGAGAAACAGAAGAAAAATCCCAACAATGTTATGCTAGAAAAGAATCAAAGAATAATAATAACCTGAATTAAATCGAAATTACAAAAAAAGACAAGTTATTGAGATGACCTTTCCTAAAGGAGCATATGATTGTTGTGTTGCTGATGAGTAGAAGATGAAGGAGGAGCTGGGAGAGCGAGGAAGTCACCAAAAGGATTAGGAGAAGAAGATGAAGGATTTGATGAGAAGTGATGTTGATGATGGTAAGGTGAATAGTTGTTGTTGTTGTTATATGGATTTTGAGTATTCATCATCATCATCTGTTGCTGTTGCATTGCCATTTGAACATTGGTTGGTGGAGCCAAGTTATTAGACATTGCGAAAGGATCTTGCTGTTGCATACCGAACGGGTTCGGGTTCGGGTTCGGGTTCGATGAGCCTGGTTCTCCGCCTGTAGCCGTGGCTCCGAATCCGTAACCGGCATTGGTTAACTGGATCTGTCTTCTTGCTGTATCGTCTTCGTAGAGACTGTCTAGCAAAAGGTTGTCAAATCCTCCGCCCTATAAAACAGAGACACCATGTGAGTTATAAATAGAAAGTTTTCCATAAGCTGAGTTTTAAAAACTCGAATGTGAGACTTACGAGTTTTGTTGCTATAACGGGACGATGATTGTTGTTATTGTTGTTGTTCTGTGGTGTGACTAGTGCAAGCTCCCAACCACTTCCTCCAGCTTCTATTAAGCTTAGACTATTAGATGGGCCTGAAGTTTCTTGTCCTGCAGAGAAATATATTCATCAGTTTATGATAATATTTGAGAAAGTCTAGATTTTACTAAATGGGTTTTTTGTTCTCTCTACCTGGTGGATATATCGCAAGTGCAAATGCGTTGGCTTGCTCTATCTCTGCGGCTTTTGGGTTGATTTCATTCAGACCCTGTACAAATCCAAGGGAAAAGAGTCACTGAGTTATGAGGTTTAGTTACAATTTGTATAGATGAAGAAGAAGATTTACCAGTAAGTCATCAGTGTCTATCAATGGTGAAGGTTCAGCTTCTTCCTCTTCTTTCTCCTCTACAGGCTCTTCTTCCTCATCTTCGATAATCGGCTGATCACTTTCGGTGTTTTCATTTTGGTTTTCTTCTTCTGCAGGTTCTTCAGTCTGTTCTTCTTCCTGTGGTTCTTCTTCCTCCTCCTTTTCCGAATACTCCTGTTCAAGACAAGCAGAACAATATATAAAGCCCCTTGAAAACGCTGATCATCAAACATTAAATGAACGCAAGAAATGATGAGATGAAATTCAATTTTTACCAGTTTTTTCTGTACAGAACCACTCTGAGGAGCTTCTTTAATGTACTCTTCCATTGTTGCAAGAAACGATGGTGGAGGCTGAAACAGGATTTTAGATAAGTGAGAAGTGAATCACACATTTTCTACAACATGTATATAATAAACACGATCCCAAAAGCTAAGAACCAACCTGTCTTAGGGTTGGGAACTGAAAGTTCCTTGCAAGCTCTAGCCCTTTGCAGTAATCATAAAACTCAGCCAGATTTTCAGCCTATGCAACAGAAAAAAACAAACTTAATATATGCCAAAAAAAAAAAAAATCAAAATGAAAATAAGTGTAGTTGCTTCACCTGTTGACCAGCTCGTTTGTATATGTTTAGAGCTTTAACCGCATCATGTCTTGTCATCTCAAAGAACTACAATGACACAGAGAGAAATATACAGTCTTTTGAATCAAAAAGCTTCAGAGAAAACCAAAATCAGAAAATGATGAAAAAGAAGAAATTGTAACAAACCATGTCTACAAGATTAATGATTCCATCATTGATGGCACAATAGATTTTGAAGCTCTCTTTAAGCACCAGTGCAAGAGCATACTGGACTAGATAGTTGCTATAAGCTGCTCCTTCAGGCTGCAAAACTAAAAAAAAACACATAAGAAGAAAATCTTCTCCAACGATTTATTGAGTTTGCATATAACTTTACCTGACATCCTATAAGCCTGTAAAGCAGCTGTTGCAACGCAGGTAACTGTTCTAACAGATCTTCACCAGACAACATCCTTGTTCTATGCGTCTACATTAACAAAATTGAAACGCTTTACGTTTAAATTTCTAATAAAAATATTGAATATTCTTCATGATGAGAGAGAGAAAGTCAGGACAAACCTTGGAAGCTGCACCTGAAGCTTTAGGCAAACGCTCTGCTTCGATGTCATACTTTAACACGCGATAGCATTCGAGCCTCTCTTCTAGAAAAAGTGCGTATGTTCTAACCCAAGCAGAGCAATCCCAAGCTGCACCAAAAAGACAATTATGATGATAAATCATGAAAGAAAATGCATATGTATAGAGAGAGAGAGAGAGAGAGAATCATTGATTCACCAAGAGGACTTGTATCGTCTTTGAAGTTGGAAATTCTGAGTATATGTCTTCTGTGTGAGTAATTTAGAAGCTCTTCTCTAAATGTTGGATCACCTTCTCTTAATGTTCTGTGAATTACTATTAACACCTTCATTGCTACCTGTTTTTTTGACAAATGTTTACGATCTAATCCAAGAAAAAATGCGATATTCAGAAAGTTTTAAAAGGAATTAATGAAAACTTACAACCCAGTTTCGAGTTTTGGATAATCTCTTTGATAATGCATGAATGCAGTAAGCTACATCTGCTCTTGGTTGTATTACAGATGTCGCCGAGAATATTTCTGCAGAAATTAACTCTCATCGTTAAAAAAAATTCTCGGAATCATATCCAATTTTCAGGATTTTGATTACGTCGGAAAAATACAGAGGAAACTTACTACGAACGTGACGTTCTTTAGGAGGAGACTCAACATGATTCGTCGCTTTAACGATCGCAATATCTAAATCCTGTAACGACCCAAAATCAAGAAACATACATCGATCATTAATTTTTCAAAAATGCAGAAACTTTTTTGCAAAATGGTGAATCAAAATCTGACCTTGAATTCGCTGTTGACCTTAGCGAGACCGACGGTGGTTGAATCTTTGAGCGCTCCATAGGCTTTGCGGAAGCTCGTGAACGTTCCCATCGAGCCACACTTATAATTAACGTCTTTTGAAATTCGAAATCTATCGGGGAAGAAAATGCGGAATATATATATATAAGATGAGGGTTTATTCCGATTGAGATCTGAGTTTTCTGATGAAGAAGAAGAAGAAGAAGAAGATCTGGTAATGTATGTGATCGAGCGAAGAGAAAATTGAGAAATAGAGAGATATGTTTTTTTTGGTTTAATGGCTGTTCAATAAACAGAGTTTCTTCTTCCTCACCCTCAAAACGTGCGTAACAGAATATTTATGATCTGGATAATTTCCTTTTTTGTTTTTCAATTATTAATAATAATCAATCCTTATTTTAAATGGTTATATTAACGTACTTCATCGGACGGTTCAGATAACAGTATAAATGACATTTATTAGATCCAACGGTGGTTAGTCCATAACAGGCCTTCTCCCATAACATACGTACACAATTTTACGGATCTTTCCACCAATTTCTTCTAAGGGTTTGTGTTTTTCTCCACAATTCTTATTCCAAATTGAATCTCTTGTGCCACAAAAATTTTATGCTTTGCATGCAACTTGTTCTGTAATCTCATTTGTATCGAACTGTTTTGTTCGTTTGAAATGTTCCCGCTTTCATCAAGTTTGAATATAGTTTTGGCTTAGATTGATTGTTTTTTTTTTCTATCTTGAATTTCTACTGTTACATGTTTGAAGAAGGGGCAATGATGATTTTGACATAAGCCTTAATTACATGGACTGAGTCACTAACGTCTCTAATCGCGCGACTATTCTACGAATATTAATATATGCATAAAATCTACGTAGTTTCCATTGTGTGTGAAATTTTCTAGTGATTACTCCTAGTGATGTTTAAACTTTAAATGTAGTCTTCACTTGTAATTTATATTGTTCGTTTGTCTCTCGTTAAAAGACAATTGTCATTTGCATACATGAAAGGAGATATGAAATGCGTTGTTCCCGATCAAGCATTGTAACAATGTGATTTGCTTTTGTAATCATCCGTATTATGTGTAACTGGCATCTTTTGTTTTTTCTCTTCTGAATGTAAATATGATAATATTAAGTAACACTTATTGTCCATCAAGGCAATTTTTCTTGTTAATTATCTTCTTGGTTCAATCCTTATTGAAACCCTCCTCCATTTGGGTTTTATATGGTTTGGTAGAACAAAATATACATCTTCCATGTTTCGTTTATGAGTGCTAAACCACGATTTGATCATTACATGCTTTGTTTTTGGATTTTTTTTTTTTATCAACTAAAGTTTAAACATTTAGTCAAAAACGAGATTAGCTTGTACTCGTCACCCAAACTGGAGGAGAATATAGATTGCAAAAATTCGACCATCGGTGTATGCTTCGTTTCAAACAACTTATTTCTTCGGTTTTATTGTTATCTGTTCAATTATTCATTATTTCATTCTATAATTGATTGTTTAAACGTATATTCGTCTCTTCTTTTGCTTGATAGAATCAACAATGGATAGCTTATTAGCTTTGACCACCAATAGAATCGGACGGATTCAAGAGCCTACCTAACCTAATCACACGCTTTAAAACAAAGGAAACACCACGACAATTGATATAGACGAAGTCAAAATAACATTTTCAAACCTTTTTCTTCAATTTGAGCTTTTATATCAACATGTAGAGTATAAGATATTTGTCTTCGCTTTCGTCCCATTATTGATATTGACAATAAAAGGATTTTTGGTAAAAAACTCTCTCAACTAAAGATAAATCGGAGAAAAACCCCTCAATTATAGATTCAATGTAAAAAATCCTCAATTATAAGTCTGTTAATGAAAATAGAGAATAAACCCCTTATTTATAAAAGTCCTCAAGTAAAGATAAATAGAGAATAAACCCCTTATTTATAAAAGTAATGTGAACTCTTCTTTCTGTCTACAATAACTTAAAAATCTATCTCAATATTATATTAAACGTTTTGGATTATTAATGTGGATAAATTTAAAACGATGTGATAATGAGATACTTTGTCTATAAAGTTGATTAAAGAAGACATATCATCAAATTTCCTGTATAATTTAATTTATTCAGAGTTTTGAGAAATTAGAACAATTTCTCAAGCATACAGAGAAATTTGATATTTTATATAGTTATCTTATAATCCAAATTATATATATTTAATTTAATATTGATTGTTTAGGTTTTAATATAATTGTGGACCGAATGAGTTTTTTCCATTAATTTGATAGTTGGGGAGTTTATTCTTTATCCATATTTATTTGAGGGTTTTTTTCATTATAATTATTTAGATTTTGTAAAACACATGTGATTTTTTTACGACCCAATACGCACAGTTTTAATTTAACTCTGGCTGTTAAGATTTTAATAGAATTGTAGATGGAGCGGTTTTTTATAAACGGACTTATAGTTGAGGAGTTTTTATATTAAATCTATAATTAAAAGGTTTTTTTTTTAGATCCATCTTTAGTTGAAGGGTTTTTTCACTAAAAACCCACAATAAAACATCCACTCCAATTAATAAGAAAGACGGCAAAAGTTTTGCAGGGGGAAATGGGTAGAAAAACTTCGAGCTTTTATAAAAGCATAAAACAAACCCTGAATTTTTTGTGGGTTTTAAAACCCTGAACTTGTTAAAATAATGAAAATCAGCCCCCAAGTAAATTAGCGTTTTGCATTTTGCGTTTAAGATGACATTTAAAATGACGTTTAAGAAAGAAGCAAAATAATTAAAAAAGAAAAACATCGTCTTTTATTCTAGGTCAAACATAAACAACATTGTGATTTTTTACTCTTGGCGTAGAAGAGAAACTAGAGCACACATCTCAATTTTATCTAGATGGAGATGAGGTAAGTTGATTATTCAGGAGTCCATCCCAATTTTGATTGCTTAGAATTTAAATTTAAACTCTGCGTTGAAAAACAATGTTTATTGATTTTGAGTGAGTTGACGAGATATTTTTTACTTGAATCTGAATTTCTCTTTATTGTTTTCATTGTTAAGTGATAATTTGCATGACTATGGTGTTGCGGAAGATAGTGAACGGAATAGAGATGATAATGGTGAAAGTGAGAATGAATCAAGTGAAGAATTGCTTGGTTTGCGTATGCAAGAGGATAGTGATAGTGACACCGACGATTCCTCTAATGAGATGATTGCGTTTCGGGTCGGCCAAGCTTTTAGTACTAAAGATAGTTTCAGAAAGGCGATTGACAAATATGCTGTGGATATGAAGAGAAATATACGGTATAAGAGATCAGAAACTATTAAAGTAAGCGCTATTTGTGCAGAAAATGGATGTCCTTGGAATATATATGCATCCATAAACAGTTCAAGTAAAGATATGGTTGTGAGAACTTTTGTTGGAAAGCACACCTGCTCATGGAATGGTAAAGTTCAGTTATTAACTTCGAGGAAGATATCTGATAAGTTCATCGATGAATTCAGAAGAAATCCGGGTCTGAAAGCTGGTGAAATTAGGGACAGGTTGCGGGTTAATGATCGACTTTTAGTATCAAAGAATAAATGTCGAGAGGCACGGCGAATTTGTATCAAACTGATTGCTGATGAATATGAAGAACAATTTGCCAGGATGTATGATAATGTAGGTGCACTTAAGGAGTCAAATCCAGGTTCTACAGTAATTTTGGGAACAAAGGCTGAGGTTTTCGAGAAGTTCTATTCATGCTTTGCTGCAATGAAAGAAGGGTGGAAAAATGGGTGTAGACGTATTCTTCATCTGGATGGAACATTCATGAAAGGAAAAATAAAAGGTGAAGTACTTACAGCTGTTGGCCGAGATGCTAATGATAAAATGTTCCCTGTTGCATGGGCCATTGTTTCTGTGGAGAACAAGCCAAATTGGGAGTGGTTTATGACATCACTACAAGAGGACTTGGACCTTGGTTTAGGAAATGGTCTAACTCTTGTTTCAGATCAGCAGAAAGGTCTGATTGCAGCAAGAGACTCAGTTCTTCCTTATTGCAAGCATAGAATGTGTGCTAGGCATATATGGGCTAACTTGTACAAGAAGTTCGGTGATGAAACAGGTCTTTTACATATTGCATTCTCGAAGATGGCAAAAGCATATAATATAAAAGTTTTTGAGGAGAGAGTAGAAGATTTTAAGCTTTTAAATCAACAAGCTTATGAACGTCTTATGCGATGGTCCGCATGTCACTGGTCTAGGTATGAAAAAATTCTGCATTATCATAGAACTCACGTAAAATTTAAACTTAGTTTCAATTTTTTGTTTATTCATTTTTCATTGTATTATCTTGCAGAGCTTTTTTCACAGGTTTTGCTAAGTGCGATGCTGTTGAAAACAATATGAGTGAATCGTTTAACAATGTGATCAATGACGAACGGTTTAAACCACTAGTTGGGTTGCTTGAAGATATTAGGATACATGTCATGATAAGCAATGAAGGAAAGATACGCATGATAGATGGATACGAAGGAGAGGTAACTCCACATGTTAAAAAGTTACTCGATAAACAAAGAAAAAAAGTAAAAGATTGCACTCCAATTTGCGGTGGAAGAGGTTGGTATGAGGTTGATCATGGTAGGGATAAATATAGTGTTAATGTAAGAAATGAAATTTCTTGCACGTGCCGTCGATACGAGGTCAGTGGTATCCCATGCTCTCATATAATTTCTGCTTTATTAGCTGAGAATAGAAATGTCCGTACCCCGGAATCGTTGGTTTCTGAATGGTTTTCAATTCCTAAATGGAAAGTGTGTTATGAACACATACTAAAACCTAACAGTGGTATGGAGTTGTGGCCTATGCATAGAGATGTAAGAGTGTTACCACCACCTTTTAAAGACCCAGTTGGGTGAAAGAAGAACCTAAAGAGACGTCTTGAAGCATATGAAACTTCTTCTGGTAGACAAACACAACATGGAATTCAAATGGTATCATTATTTTTGTTTTAGTTTTTGTCTTTATCTTGTTTTTAATCGCTTTATTCATGATTGGTTGTGGTTTTTAATTATGTCATATTATTTTATTATGTTCTTA